GTAATCGGCGTGTGTGGCTGGTGAATAACGAAGGACAAAACTTGTTAGCTCCCTGTGAAGTGAATTACACCTACGTTAACTCGTAATTAACTCGCTCATCGCGAACCCTCGATAAGATATCGAAGAAGTTCTAGACTAGAAAGAAGACTTTATATTGCTTGTAAGTTTGTGAAACTTTTGTATATAAATCGTTGTTTGTAAAAACTATTTGTAATAACTGTTATTGTAAATTGTATTATTGTTTGTATATTACAACATATTTGTATAAAAGAAAACTGTCTGTATCAGTCTTGTTGGCAAATATCATAAACTGACTATATATCGGCTTTTACTTAACTGCTAAATCTAAAGTACAATTAAACTACTAAATTTAAATTATTAGGTAACTCGGTTTGAAAACATTTGAAATTCTAATACGTAACAATAGTAAAACTATGTTAGCTCTAAATGTCAAAGACTTGGCACTATAATTAAATAATCCAATGGAAGTACTACAGGCTTAACATTACCGACATGACAAGAATAATAAAAGTTATAAAAATCAACAACCTAGTAATCAGATTTTAACAACACAGTGGAAGATAAGGTGGATTTAAATATCAACAACTTGGTACCTTGATTAAAAACAACATAACTGAACTACAGTGAAATAACATCAACAACTTAACACATGGTTTTAGCAACACAACGGAAGTATAGTGGGATTGACATCAAAAACTTAACACATGGTTTTACCAACACAACTGACGTACAGTGGGACTAATAGTTTTGTACCTGGTTTAAACAGCACAATTGCTTTAAGACAAGTACATTCAGTGAAGTCTGGAGACAGCTGACGATACCGCCTCATGACATCTTGTATGAAATGGAGGTCAGAGACCTGTGATTGTAGCTCACCGGTCTTAGGAATAGAGTCTGTTTGGAGTGTGACTAGTTTCGGTGTGGATAAACTGGACAGAATGTCCGTCGTGACTGAACACTGTGCCATATTCAGTAAAAATAAATCCTTCCACGATTCGTCAAGTAAGGTGACCTAAATATGATAAAACCTTTTAATAATCTCTTCAAGTAAGATGACATAAATATGATAAAACCTCTTAATAATCTCTTCAGTAAGATGACTTAAATATGATAAAACCTTTTAGTAATCTCTTCAAGTAAGATGACCTCAATATGATAAAACCTTTTAATAATCTCTTCAAGTAAGATAACCTAAATATAATAAAACCTCTTAATCTGGTTATTCTTCAAGTAAGTTTGTTTTGTTTTGAATTTTGCGCAAAGCTACGCAAGGGCTATTAGTGCAGTGAAAGACAGCTAGTCAACACCACCCACCGCCAACGCTTGGGCTAATCTTCTACCAACGAATAGTGGGATTGACCGTCACATTATAATGCCCCTACGGTTGAAAGGGTCGAGCATATTTGTTAAGACAGGAATTCGAACCCGCGACCCTCAGATTGTCGGATTACCTATGTAAGATTACCTAAATGTGATAAAACCTTTTAATGATTTGGCTATTCTTCAGGTAAGATGATGTAAACATGATAAAATTTCTTAATAATTTAGTTATTCTTCAAGCAAGATTATCTCCACATGATAAAACCTCTTAATAATCTGGTTATTTTTCAAGTTAGATGATCTAAATATTATCAAACTTCTTAATAACCAGGTTGCTTGTTGCTTTTATTCTCTAAGATAATAGTAGATTTTGAAAGGGCGAGCATGGTTTGTGGGACGGGGATTCGAAACCGCTACCCTCAAACTGCGAGTAAAGCACCCTAACCACCTGGCCATGCCGGGACGACTTCGTTAATAAAGGCACTTACGGAGTAATTAATTTGTCTCTAACGTTTTGCACCTTTACAGCTGGTCAATTTGACGTAGCGTATGAGGCAGAATTTCATTAGTTAATTTAACAGACGTTGGTTAGTTCCCTTGCACATTTTTCGGTGATATTCAAGCAATAGATAAAATTGAAACAATATGAGTTTAAGATAATATTGCCAACGAAAATCGCGTTGAAAATCAGATATGTTCGTACTATAGTAATATGGCGACTCTTTCGTTTTTGTTTGAAGTTAAGCACAAATCTACACAATGGGCTATCTGTGCTCTGCCCACCATGGGCATAGAAACCCGGTTTCTAACGTTGTAAGTCCGCAGACATACCACCGTGCCACTGGGGGGCATGACTCTATCTAACACTGCAATTACCTCTGAAACGTGTTGTTCTGAATGATACTATAAAAGTATCATAATTTATTTACAGAATGAAATATCCTGTTAAAAAACTGTCTTTTCCCTTACTTGTATTGCTAAATTGACACTTGAATAGAAATGCAGAGGTTAATATTATTTTTTATTTAACTTACAAGTATTCACACAGATATTTTTATATCATTATATAGAATAAGTTCTAGCTTAACTTCTATGGAAATATAAAGCATTTCTAAAATTTTGCTTGCCAGATATTAAGTTTTGTTTTGAAAGTGGAAATCCTTATTTTAATGTCTTTATTATAGTTAGACTAACATGAGCTGTAGTACTGGCCGAAAGGCCTCGTCGGCACTGGATAAGGCAGATATAATGTGAATGACATTAAATATTATTTTTTGCTTTAGTTTTCACTCATAAGTTCTTAGAATTATAAAAAAATAACCTAACTTGCTAATCGTATAACAGTTTTACAGAGGAAGAGCTAACGTATTATTACGTTTGGCCTCCACGGATATTTTATAAAGTCTGACTAAAGTCTTGGCTGATAGGGTACTATTGAAATTTATCTAGTATTTTTCTGACAGTTGCGTATAATTAAAGAACACTATTTTATAAAGTATGACTAGAGTCTTGGCTGATAGGGAACTATTGAAATTTATCTAGTATTTTTCTGACAGTTGCGTATAATTAAAGAACACTATTTTATAAAGTATGACTAGAGTCTTGGCTGATAGGGAACTATTGAAATTTATCTAGTATTTTTCTGACAGTTGCGTATAATTAAGGAACACTATTTTATAAAGTCTGATTAGAGTCTTGGCTGATAGGGTACTATTGAAATTTATCTAGTATTTTTCTGACAGTTGTGTATAATTAAAGAACACTATTTTATAAAGTATGACAAGAGTCTTGGCTGATAGGGAACTATTGAAATTTATTTAGTATTTTGCTGACAGCTGTTTATAATTAAAGAACACTATTTTGAAACTTTGTATTAGCACCTTACCTGGTCAGGCTTGCTCAGTGTCTGAAAAGTGGGGAGACACTTGACCCAGCGGATGACCATAAAGAGTAGTCGAGCTGTCATCTCCTGTAAAGACTCTCCTCGTCCGGTGGTAGTGGCTGGTAAAAATGTCGGGAACATTCCAAGTTGGCTGGCGCAGGAGGCAGGACAGGAGGTTTGATAGAAAAAATGCGACTGCATGGGAAGCGAAGAACGGTTGTCAGTTAGTATAGTGCCTAAGCTGAAACTGGGGTTGATACGTGTAAGGGCAGAGTTCAGTTGGGCTGTATTCCACATGAGCTCCTGAGACTTCTCTGCGTTGAGCAACATCTGTAACAAACCCGATGATGCAGCTCCGACGAAGGCGGAGGATGGTGTCGCTGAGATGTTCTCTCTCGTGTTGAACATCATGGAGGACTGAGAACTGGAAACTCCGACTGATGCTACTATGGAAGTCGATAGATTGCTAATCTCCAAAGGATGCCGTAATTTGGATCCACAATTTGTACTTCCAGTTTTGGTCCTTCCTTTGGCAGGTGCAGATCTGTCTTCAAACCGAGACTTTCTCGGACCTCGCTCATGTTGAACAGCTAAAAGAGGCACAACATTACTCCACGACTGTTCTCTCGAAAAACTTAAATTTATGTCCACTATTATTTCTGATTCTATATATTTACCTTCTCGCAAACTAAGTTTTGATTAGCTTCTAGTTTGTCCAAATACATTTTATTTTTCTGTAATTTAAACTTCATAAAAGACAAAAAATTTCAGACATCTTTTAGTTACCTCGTAAGTTATGTCACTAACTTACTTATAATTAAAATCAGTACGAGTTAATTGGGGTCAGGATCATTTATGAATCTTATGTTTATGGGGTCTAATGTTTATTAACATAACTATGCAGACAAAAAAAAAACAACATTAAAAGAGGTAAACATGATGCAGATAATTAACACCAAGTCAACTTAAACAGTACCTATTAATAAGAACATTATTGGTAACTCTACTAGTAAGGTCAACATGAATGATTAGTATTAGTATGGACCAACATAAGCAGCATGGAAAAGAAACACATTATGAAAAAGATGAAAGGAAACATGACACTAGAAGGGTCAACACGGTAACATACTACAAGAATGGTCCACACAGAAACACAATACAAGTGGTGATAACATGGAAATAGTGTTTGGATGCAAAGAGAGAAATGCTGCTAAATGAGTCAGCATATTGGAAATAGTGTTTGGATGCAAAGAGAGAAATGCTGCTAAATGAGTCAACATATTGGAAATAGTGTTTGGATGCAAAGAGAGAAATGCTGCTAAATGAGTCAACATATGTAGAACTAATTAGTAAAAGCCATCTAACATAGAGCGTTAAGCTTAACACTTTTTAGGGAATATTCACAGCTTTTGTCAAAGCGATTATACGTATGGTTTATAACATGATTCAAAAAAAATAATAAATCGAAATATAATAAAGGTATACGTAAATCCGCAGTGACAACTGGTTAAAAGATGGCGCTACGTTTTATGTGTGTTTTCCTTTCTATGAATCAAACTTTGCTAAGAGTTTCGTTTCTTAATAATTACTATTTGTTTCGTATAAATTAAGAGTGAGTAAATAATAAACACCTACCTTATAATAAAGCCAATAACACATCTAAAACTATCAATTTACTTTTTAATTAAGTTAACTTTTAGGTAATAAAAAAGGAATAATATATTTAGATAACCTAAGTATTCAGATACTTGCCTTGTATATTTTATAGTCCATAACTTTACACAAATTTATCACACATTACGAAACATACTTGATATCACAAATTACAAAGCATACATAATGGTTGTGGGTTATATATGGGTTATGGACTATACATGTTACACAGATTTATCACAAATTACAAAATCTACTTGATGGTTATGGAATATATGTATTACACAAATTTATCACACATTACGAAACATACTTGATTACATATATTCCATAACCATCAAGTAGATTTTGTAATTTGTGATAAATCTGTGTAACATGTATAGTCCATAACCATCAATCATGTTTCGTAATGTGTGATAAATTTGTGTAATACATATATTCCATAACCATCAAGTAAATTTTGTAATTTGTGATAAATCTGTGTAACATGTATAGTCCATAACCATCAAGTATGTTTCGTAATGTGTGATAACTTTGTGTAATACATATATTCCATAACCATCAAGTAGATTTTGTAACTTGTGATAAATCTGTGTAACATGTATAGTCCATAACCATCAAGTATGTTTCGTAATGTGTAATAAATTTGTGTAACATATATAGTCCATAACTATCAAGTATCTTGTGTAATGTGTGATAAATCTGTAAGTGACGTCATCCTCAAGTAACAAGCTTTACTTTCAAAGTTATTCGACCTACCATAAATGCCGCAAGAAAAAGTTTAGTTTGTTACAAAATGATGCTATGTACATATATTTAAGGATACAGGATTTGAAATTTATTTCCCTTTCAGTATAGTGTTCCATATTACAGACAACTAGACCGATATCATTTTTTTTTATTGTTAACATGATGACGTAAAGTCATGGTAGATAATGGAGCCACATCTGTATGATCGAGTATATAGAAATGTCGAGCTTCGTGTGAAGATTTGCAACTTGAACACAAGACACCCGAGACGTGACACCAAGCGATGGACCAAGGATGCTGGCGTGGTCAATAGAGGAAAAGAAAGGATTACCTGCTAACGTCAGTATGTAGGCCGTCATGGCTGGTAATATATCCGGAGGATTAGCAAAGGCAAGCTCAGATTGAGCAGGCTTTTACTTAAACAAACACACAGCATAAGTACTACTTAAATTGGTGACAGCAGACGGAAGGATGAGAGAGTTATTAGAAATCCTTACGTTTACTACTGAAAGTCCCAAGCTGTGGGAAGCCCACCAAAGGGTCACAGAGTATGTATGCTGGTCGTGTAACAGTTGATGTTACATACCCTTAAAATTTAGATTACTGTTTCATTATTCAAGAAGATTATACGGGAGAATGAACACGTGGCAGGCTACTAAATATATATATAGCCTTACAATGTAACCTAATTTTACTTCCGATTTAAATTTTTATCCTTAAGTAAGTCTGTTATAAACATTATCCCTAGGTTATATTTCACTCATTCCAAAAAAAAATGCAACAAAAACAATTATAATTAATTTTTGGGAATATCAAACACGTGTTTTAAGAAAAAAAAAGGGCTACACAAAAACGTTTTTCTTTGGGTAGTCTAACTAATATTTAACGAAATGAACTGCACAATAAATTTAAATATTAAATCTAAATTGAAATAAAATTTTCTCTCTCCATGGAAAAATTTGAAGTAGGCTTACAACGCTAAACTGTGGGATTCGATCCCTGTTAATAGCACAACGCAGATAGCTCATTGTACATACTTGCTCTAAAACAAAGAAATTTTCTCTCCAGAAGAGTATTTTGAGTAATATATATATGCGTACAACTGTATATTATCAAAATAATTTAATATAAGTTACGGACGTTTAAAATGATTCATGCCCCCCAGTGGTGGGCAGAGCACAGATAGCCCATTGTGTACCTTTGTGCTTAATTACAAACAACAACAAAATGATTCATAGCAGATACATAGTAATTTGGGTTATGAAATGAGTTGTAAATATATTTGTACTCAGTAAAAGAGAAGTAATATGAGAATTTAGATTTTACCATAAGCTATTAATTAAATGAAACGTATTTGACTAAGTAGATACTCAGATAGTTTCAAAAAAGAAATATGAACACACAGATGGCGGAATAAACAAATAAGAATACATAGGTAAATATATACCTCATTAATAGTTTCTTCTATGGATAAATTTATATAGAAAACTAGCTTTTTATAAGTATATTATACAAGCTGAGTGCACGTCATATGACGGGAAATAAGGATTAATTTTTCTTCTCAAACTTATATCTAAATAAATTTTTTATAAACATGTTTTCTAAAAAATTATTATAATCTAGTAACAATATATGCATGGAGAATGACTATTTTATTCCTAGTATTTTACGAGAACAACATTTTTTATGTATATTTGGTCATTTTCTTTAAGTATTGCTTGATTATCATATTGACTTCTGTATATTTTTAAGTTATATTCAAATATACTTTTTAATTAATCCTTATATATTAAAACATGCGAAAAACTCATTCTAAAAGACATATTCCTACTTGGCCAACTGTATGACTCTGCAAATTATTAACTGTGTTGATAAAAGCAGCGAACTTTATTATAAATTTCAGAGTCTTCTCTTTGGAATGTCTTCCTGGTTTGGGTTTTGTTATCCTGCTGAGCTATAAATTGGACATTTTCAAAATTGAAATGTGCTACGGGGAAAATATTCGGTTTATTATAGAGTTGTAGCCGATGGTTCCGATTGGACAAAATTTTGTGATGTTGCGTCATTGTTTTCCTTGACAACCAAGTAAACGTAATGGGGAATTTCAGTCAATGATTATGATTTCTGTGCGCCAGCAATAAAGTGTGGAGAACGCCTATATCCGATTCGATTTTATTACAAATTACGATCTCTACAAACCTACCCGCAAATCTAACTATATGCTCAAAGTAGTGCATCGTCCGTTTTATATATATATGTACGGCTGGAAGCATTTAAAAAAGACAAATTTGCTTGTCGCGGCAGAAAGCGCTGTCGTTTCGTACAAATTGCGTGTCAATCGGTACCGCAACGGCCGAGATATCAGCAATTTACGGACGGCTTTTCGTCTTTATATAGAAGTAAGGTAATCAAAAATAAACAGATATGTTGTTGTTTAATTGTTAATAGATGTAATATCTCATCACTCTAATACTTATAATATTCTTATCCACATCTTTCTTAACTGGCTCAGTACGAGTTTTTTTTTTTTATATTTTGTATAATAACATTTCAACAATCCTATTTTTGGAAACCATTGGTGCCTGGGTTAGCGTTCCCGAACTGTGCATCCCTAGACTCTTGTTTCGCGACCCATTGGCGCAAAAACTATCTCTAACATTGTGGCCATAAGAGTGACGGTCAAATTCCACTATTCGATGGGACAAGATTAGCCCAAAAGTTTGCCGGTAGGGGCTGTTGACTAGCTCTCTTCCCCTTGTCAATCAGTTCCAGACTAAGGACGGTTAGTGCAAACAGCCCTCTTGTAGCTTTGCACTAAATCCTGAATCGCTCATTTTGGCGCAGATCTAGGAAACAGAAGTTCGTCTCTTCAGTTATTCAGTTTTCTTCTTTGAAATTTGTTTTGTGTGGATCGTAAGTTTCCGTTTTTTTTTATCTAGGGTATGAATTTCCCCCTGTGTGTCTGTATTATTTTCGCTTGTTTACATAGAGGACCGACCCCACAACGACAAGGAAATACAAGCGCCACATTTTATGACCCTGGTAGTCAGTTAGCAATTGCTATGGTGTCAACGTTTTTCTTCTTTCAATAATTTAGTGATTTTTTTTTATCTTTATGTATGCAACAGCTAAAGCTTATGCACAGAGCTTCAAATAAGTGGTTCACCATGTGCGCATGTGCATGAAAACGTAAAAATAAAGATGAATGTTTTCGCGTACCAGCGCTTTATCGGACTACAGATTGCGAAACATTACTGAAAGCTCCTGTCTGAAATCGGCAGTGTGTTGGCATTTTAATTTGTTTTGTTGTTGTCTTTACTCTAACAACTACATTTTTCTTAAATGTTTCCAATACTAAGACTAAAAGGATGAAATGCACTACTCAAACGGACCTTTTAAATTTTCCCGATTTGTCAAGTAATGCCAAAGACAATGGCAGATGATCAAGCAGGGAAAGCTCTTAAGGCTCCAGGTGGTTTAAGGATGTAGATTGAAGAGCGACCTGGAATTTGATTGCTTTCATTTACAAGGAACGCTAGAATAATTTCAAGACTTATAACTCGTTCGTTTTAGGTTATCAGATATTTCTGTTTGTTCAATGTGGACCAAAATAATTCATATGGTCCACATATGAGAATTATTCGTTTTATTTTAATTGAGCCCCTACTTATTTCCCATCCTTCGTGTCTATATTAGCTTCGTACTCATATTTAAACAAAAGTATTGATGACAAAAAAAATATATAGGAATACAGAAGAAGAGACAAATAGATCGTAAACGTAATTACTAAGTATTATATGTATATGTATATATATATATAGCTTTTAACGTGACACCTCCAACTGATGAGCTCCGTTTCTCATTTATAACTCTTGTATGTGTTCTCCAAACGACACTCATCTTTCCACAAGATAATAGGGATGGCATTTGCATCATCCCTACATCCCTGCGATGAAAATTTCATCCCTATTGTCTTGTTTGCATTGTTTTTGAAGGATTGATATTAGCCATCCTTACATTTACTTTCTTTTTTGAAAAGTTCTCTCTTTACATGTTTGCTTGTTATTGTTGTTTTTTAATGCAGTGTTTTAATATACATAAGAAGGTTGTATTTATAACCAAGTTCTAAATACAATGAGGTTTCAACTGTATTATTTATTGTTTATCTATTATTGGCTGGTAATTCCTGTTTCACCCTGTTCTTAAGCTTTTTATAGGAACACCAAATTTTTGTAAGAAAACTAACTTCAAAGGGTAATGATAACATCGTTTACACTAGAATTATGATTTTGTTTTAATTAGTACTAGTTAATAATACTTATAAAAGGGGATACTCTGTTTGAAACTATGTCACCTCAGTGAATTTGGTTGATACCATTGTTTTGGTTTTTGAGTTATCATGTAATAAAAGAGAGGAACAAGAAATTCAAACTTTTTGTTATGATATTTACAAACATTCCCAGAACTTGTGACTCAGTCATTACATATTGTTTTAAAGGTAAACACTGTATAATATTGTAAAGTTCTGATGACCTATTGAGGAGATATTTAAAACATCATTTCGATGAACAATCCGAGCTATCCCTACATAGACAGTGCTACCACCTGTCTGATGAAATGAGGAATGAACCACAGAACTTCGAAAACTAACCGTCTTTATTCATACGAGCCTCGAAACATTTCTTAAGCCTACAAGCTCGGCATTGGTTCCTGTGGGTCTTGTCGATGGGACATTTTCCTTTCAAATCTCCTTGAGCTTTACATGTGTAGACTCGGTTACGATGGATGCTGCGTTTGAAGAATCCTGAACAGCCTAAAATCGAATGTAATAAACATTGTGATTAGTCACATCTCGATATGTTACGAACTTTAGGTGTTCTTATGAAACACACCATTTTGTTGGCTCTGTTTGCGCTGTTTGTTAATTTTTTCTTCTTTTTGTCATATAAACTTAATATTATTCTAATTTTTTAAATTAATATTTTGCTAAAACTTTAATTAAGGTTTTTTTTACTCTTTATATATTTCATGCCTGGAGTTATAGACTTCTTATACTACATTTTTATGCTTAGGTTCAAGACAGTTTTGTGTTTTGACTCCATTAACAATAGAGTAATTACTGAAAACATAATTTAAAGTGACTATATCTTAAAACCTGCGGGCACTAGGGGTACTACATTACGTAAGATTCACGTTGAAGACCATATGTAGTATTCAGTAAAGTTTGAATATGGTACAGAGTGTTTCAGAATGTTCTAAATCATAAGTCTGCTTTCTGTCATTCTCAATCAGAATATCAAACCTAGCCCTAAATGAAGTTTGTGCAAGTATCATCTGTTCTACACAGTATTTATTGATTGTAACGATATCCTACATACTGATGTGCATTTAATCAAGTTAATCTAACTCGTATTGATGAAAGAGAGAGAAAGAGGAGGATACATAAACCTGTGCTAGTTTTAGAAACAAGGATTTAGATAATCAGTATAATATCGTTTTAGAAAACGTGTTACAATTCCCGAACAATCCTGAAATGAGATTATTCTCAATGTGCTTCTGGTGAAGTCGAATTCCCAAATAACAAGTAGATTTAAAGATAATGCTCCTTTTGAACATAAATCTTGTTTTTATAATCATCTTGTGTATAATCGTAATGTTTATTGACACATATGTTTTTAAAATTATGGCTGATACTGGCAGCACTTTCATCGAACGAGAGAACCAGGTTATTATTCAAAAGAAACAACTCAGTACTATCAGCTAATGACTGCAGTAGTTGTATCTCAGCATTGAAACCTACAGTTGAAAATAGTATATTGTACTATCAGCTAATGACTGCAGTAGTTGTATCTCAGCATTGAAACCTACAGTTGAAAATAGTATATTGTTCTAATTAGCGAAAAAAAAAGAAGATATATATAAGCAGAAGACATAGCATCAGGTAAAAAGACTAGCAGATACAAGAGTTTATAAATATAATTTAATGGGCCTATTAGATCACAGACAGACAGAAAAGTAGATAGATAGATAGATAAATAAATAAATAGTTGGGATGGTAGGTGGATAAGTGTACAGCTCAATATGATTTGTCTGTTAAAAACATCTGGCATGCAAAATATGAAACTCATAAACATAGAAACATCATAAAAAATCCTCAATAACACCAAGTAGTTTTAAATGGTTTTATTTTCAGTTTCTTAGATCATTTCACATGAGCATCTATTTAGTTGCATTCTATTTAATACGAACACATTCGTCCGGGTGAAAAAAAAAAGTTTCGTGATTACAATAAAAAAAGTGTTTTTTCATCCAAATTTAGCCCCTCCCCAGTGGCACAGCGGTATGTCTGCAAACTTACAACGCTAGAACCCAGGTTTTGATACCCGTGGTGGGACAGAGCACAGATAGCCCATTGTATAGCTTTATGCTTAATTACAAACAAACAAACCTCCAAATTTATGTTACTTAGGATGCTAATCGAAAAGTCTTCGCTCCAATATGGGAAGCTCTGGTTTATGGGAATAAAGTAATTTAATCAGTTCAAAAAATCTCGTTTAAATCACAGTTAGTGTTTATATCTCCATTATTTCTTTGATCCATCTATGTTAGTTATTGTACTGTATCCCATTGAATGCTAGAAACTCTGTCTAATTTTAATCAACACTTATTGGGAGTTTTATTTTTTAACTTCTTTAAAGTCTGGTCTGTTAAACTCTCAATTTATTTACTTATCCTAATTTAACAGATATACTTTATACTTTTATTAAACTTGAAATAAAACGTCAACGAACGACAAGAATATAATTGTTTGTTTGTTTTAAATTTTCGAGCAAAGCTACACGAGGGCTATCTGCGCTAGCCGTCCCTAATTTAACAGTGTAAGACTAGAGGGAAGGCAGCTAGTCATCACCACCCACCGCCACCTCTTGGGCTACTCTTTTACCAACGAATTGTGGGATTGACCGTCACATTATAACGCCCCTACGGCTGAAAGGGCGAGCATGTTTGGTGTGACGGGGATTCGAACCCGAGACCCTCAGATTGCGAGTCGAGCGCCCTAACCACCTGGCCATGCCGGGCTGTTGTACAAATCTCTGTTATCTTAGCTCAAAACATGAAACAATGAAAAAATGCAAAGAAATGCCAAATTGCTGTAGGAAAGAAAAAAGAATTAGGTCATTTGGTCGAAACATTGTTCACCTTTAATTGTTTTTCTTTGCTGTCGTTTTAACCAATTCTTTCCGTTTTTATATTTTATAACGCTATGGTAAAACGTATTTCTCGATCATGCTATTAGGAAAAATGTATTTTTAGCGGAAAGCGATACAATGGGCTATAGGCGCTCTGTCAGCCGCGGGGAGTCGAACCACGGGTTTTAGCGTTATAAGTCCATAAACGTACCGCTGATCCACAGGGAGAGTTTAAAATCAATAAGCTTAGAAAAGAAAGATACGACATTTAATGAAACCTGTTAGATTCCTTCCAAATAATGTAGGTTTAAGTATATATAAATGTGCTATAATTTCTTTTTTCGCTGGAGAGACTTTTCCTAATAAGTTATGAAGTTAAGGAGTTGATGCACTTATTTACACGGTTATTCAGTTTTTGTTTAGAAAAAAAAAGATGAAACGAAAGTTTCGCTCCCCATGCTTACTGTATCTGGATACAAGAAAAGGAAAATTATGTTCAATTTTCGTGTGGTTCTACGAATATGAACATGTTACCCATTTGACTAAATCGTTGCCTCTTATCAAGACACACAGGAGTGTGTCGTTCGGCCAAAACAACCTACAGGACACACTACTGTGTTATTAACAGGAATTATAGCAATTTTCTGTATCTCGAACTTTGGTCATCCAAACTTCACATATTTTCAGTGAATATGCTCTACTCGACTCTTATTTCATACACCAAATTTCAATCCATTAAGAAATACACGAGATATAAAATCTCCAGTTTCGATTGTTTGTTTTCCTATTTTGTTTTTTTCTTCGCGCCAAAAATACGGATAAAAGAACATATTTAACTTTCATGGATTTCTTTTAAATTTTTTGCACGCTAATAGATCTATAATCTACAGTTAGGTGTCAAATTTGGTCTAAGTATAGGCCATATGTGCAAAAGTTGCTCAACAAAAAACGCTTATTTTTGATCAAAATGTTTGCGCACGCCGACGCTAAAAGTCGCGTGAGCTATCGGTCATACGTTTTCATCTAAGACTAAAAGTAGACCTCTTTTATATTTTTGTCATTCGGATTAAAGACGGCTGATTAAGAGCAGGAAAACTATAGTGTGAAACCACGTGCAGATACATAAGTATTGGTTCAGCCAAGCAAATTAGATTAGCAGTTTCTAGCTCAAGTTATCAAAATAATTGTACGGGTAGGCGATTATTATTGATTATTCATTGTCAACTTTTAAGCATAAATTTGCTAAATTTCATGACATTTTCCTAATTACAGAGCGTTTAGCGTTAAGCAATTAGTGTAAATAATGACGCTTGATACGGCTGTACCGAGTGCATATGGGTGATGACAAGAAACTGTTAATCTAGTTTCCATGGCGTTATTACAAAGGATGTTATTAACACTGTTTTAGAGAGGAAAAACTACCACCACATGTTGTAAAGGATCTGGTTGTTTCTGTAAAGTAAAGGTCTGTTCCGAATAATCGGGTTGCGATTCAAAAGCTAATGTTGGTTAATATCGAGTGATACTTTTTTACTTGCTGTGGTTTGTTGGTGTGTATTGACATAAAGTCATGATATCTAACCAAAAACACCTTAAATGTGTAAAACAGGTGTGGCCAAAATGAAATTAAGCGTGCGACTTAAGGGAATGAAATCAAAATTGATTGCCAAACTGGTAACTAAACTTATAACATTATTTGCTTATGAATATTTGCTGTAAAATTCTTATCAATGCTATAAGTGTAACTACCATTTTGGCCACCAATTTTGATTTTATTCCTTTAAGTTGCACGCTCGATCTCTTTTTGGCCGCACCTTTTTTTTTTACACCTAAGGTGTTTTGATGAGACAGTTTAAATCAAGACGACTTTCACAAAAGGATAAAGTAAGGAATTAATATTTGTTGAAAGTGGTTAACCCGTCTTTAGTATTTATCATTAAGTAAATGAAAGAGTCTTTATTGTGAAACATGATATCGAAAATATATTTTTCTATCATTCATTTTTACAGCACTTCAACAATAGACTCCTGGTTATTGGTATTTAAAAGAAATAATAATAATAATACCTATGAAAAGTAATAAATCTTTTCTGAATAAACTAATGAATCTGATAGTCCAGTTTAAGCATTCTAAAGCTTGTTTAGTTTTACTTAGAACCTGTATTTAAGTTTCTAGGTAGAATAATCTAACTTAAAAGAAATATTCAATAATAAACCGCATATGAAGACGCTGTGTATAAAATGAAAAAGATACAACATTTGGAATAGTTTTATGCTATCCAGTATGTTACATAGCTATACTACCCTCTGGTGAAAAATTATACTTAACGTATTTAGTTTAATAAATTTTGAATACTCTTTAGTCATCTTCACTGTAAAGTAAAGTAGGCTAGATAGGCTATATTAGCTAGTATCTTCGTACTGATGTTTTCCATAGCAGTTTTGATTGGCTGATTATTCAAAATGCGATGCTATCAGCAGACTAACGAAATATATTATACAAACATAGTTACAAGCTTACAAGAAGAAGTAATTGATATAAGTAAATTTGGATCTTTGGGCTAGTCACGGAAAGGGTCTAATTCTTAACTACCGAAAAGAAATTCCTTAACGTAACTCAAAGAGGTATATCTAATACAGGAAGGGTCTAAGTCTTAGTCACAGCATGGAAATTCGGTAAGATATATAACTAATACGGGAAGGGTCTAATTCTTAATCTCCAAGCATGGAAATTTAGTAAGGTAAGTTTAAAGGAATATAATTAAAACGGAAAGCGTTTAATTCTTAACCACCGAAAGAAAATTCAGCATTGTAACTCGAAGAGATATAACTAACACGGGAACGGTCTAATGTTTAACCAATATATGGAAATACAGTAAGGTAACTTAAGAGGGATATAACTAACACGGGAAGGGTAGAATTCTTAACCATCAAATGAAGATTCAATAAGGTAACTCAAAGGGGTAGAGCTCAAACAGAAAGGGTCATTTTTTTATTTTTTTTCCCCCCATAGTCCTTGCGGACCGTCGAGCCATCGTTTCTAAAGCTGTTTCTTACGTCAAGGATGCAACCCACTTGACAAATCAATCTCTTAAAATATAATAGTTCTTTATTGTCGACGAAAACAAATCAATTGAAGATGTTTTTTCCCTTTTCACGTTCCTCTTAATTTGTCTATTTCGTCTCGAAATCAGAGGAGAAAAAAAAAACTTTCATAACGTTATTTTTTTTCCCCATAGATCTTGTTCTGCCCTCGTTTCTAAAGCTGTTTCTTACGTCAAGAATGCGACCCACTTGACAGCCTTCCCTCTTGGAAAGGACGAGCATGTTTGGTGGGACTGGATTCGAACCCGCGACCCTCATATTGCGAGTCGAGCGCCTTATCCACCAGGCCATGCCGGGCCCAGAAAGGGTCATATAGTCAGGTAATTCAAAGTGATACAGGTAGCATTTTGTTTTGCAATGTATTACCTTCTTATATAAATTATTTTACAACAATGAGTTATTAATATATTTCGGAAAGGACAACTTTAAAAAGCAATGATAAACGAGCGTACATATTTATTAAGAATGCAAGAATAAACTGTAATGCGGAAAACAGTATTTACTAATGTTTTTATTTGGGGGGATTAAGCAGACTTTCGGGGGGAGATTAAGCAGACTTTTCGGGGGGAGATTAAACAGACTTTCGGTGGATTTGAGAAAAGTAGAACTAGATCAGTTCAAAAATAATTGGTAGAATTTTCAATTCTTTGACCAAAATAAATAGAAAAACTAGTTTCACTATTTTTATTTTTCTTATTTGCTTGATAGTATAAAGAAAATGTTTAAAACAAATAGAGAAGGTGAGCCGAAAATGAGTTTTTCTTCTGATATAAAACGTTAAATGCTAGAAATCAAACGTTTTCATTTCATCATGAATCTCATCTGTCGAATGAAAGAGAAAGATAAAGACAGGTGTGGTTTTTCACACACTGTTTGCGCGCTCAAACTAATAGCTTAATCTAAACCTCCAAAGCGCTACAGTTCTTTCTAATCCGTAAATTTGGAGAGACGTTGCAAAAATCAATAGCTCATTCAATACGTAAAATATATTCAGCCAATAAATCTATTCCTAAAAATAAGTGAATATTTTATAAGATTCATTGCAAGTTAAGATCATGATACTGAGGAAAACATACATTGGAAGTCACTGTTACGGTGTGGTATTTGCCTTCAAATTGAATCTAAACATACGATGTCACTGATTGGTTTGAATTGTTTTCAGATTTTCCCACATGGGTACACCAGGTCTAACTATCTACACTAGACGTCCTTAATTTGATAGGTAGTCAACAGCATCCAACATCAACTATTTTGACTACTGTAATCGGATAGTAGGATTTGACCATTACCCGTATAACACGCCCACGGTCCCAGAGTGCGGAGTGCATTTTTTGCAGCAACAGGACACGAACCATGAACCCTCGGATTCACACTCTGGTACGTTAACATAGGCTACGCCTGGCTCTGATGTCAGTGAACAAATCTAACATTCACTATTTACTCTTCCGATTCATCCCCAGATAACCCCTGAAATAGAGAGGTTTTCTTGCGAAACTCTCGCGTTACCAGAATCCGTGTTAATTTAAGGTATACACTAGAAACTGATAACTTTTATTGTTGTCTATAAAGTTTCTTTCTTATGGTGACGTCATGTTTCACAAAGACAAATACTAAATACCTTATTAACATTTACTAATATTCTCAGTTTATTGAGCATCAATAAAAAGTAACCGGAACTTGTATCGATAATTGGCTAATTGAATATTGTATTCGATTATTATGTAATAAAAAGTATGATATCATATGTTATCTTCAAAGAGAGTTTATTGTTTATTTAGCACAAAGCTACACAATTGGCTATCTGTGCTTTGCCCACCACGGGTATCGAATCCCGGATTCTAGCGTTGTAAGTCCG